GACGGGACCGCACAGAGCGGCCGTCACCCACGGGCCAGAGAGAGCCCAGGACACGCCGTCCGGCCGAGGACGACCACGCTTCCACTGGAGAGGCCCTAGAGCGCGGGCCAGGGTACCTGGACGTGGCCAAGGGGGGACCGCGCCGACACTGCTCCATCCACGCGTGGTTGTGCTCTTCTCGTAGGCGGTGCGCCTCACCGCATATGGACCCAAGGGCGTGAGTGGTTGCAGCTGAAAAGACATGCGGAAATAGCGCGGCCTGTCAGCGCGCCAAGTCAACACGCGGGAATGATGAAGTAATAGGAATGGGAATAAGTTGGCAGGGGCGGCGCGGGGGCGGTCCTTAGGGCCTGTGTGCGGAGCAGATGTAATGGTTGGACGTGCAGGAGTTGTGCAGTTGGGCGGCGCTGCGGTGTGGACCACGCAATTTAGTATGCGCTGAGCGTCTGGGACCAGGACGTGGCAGCAGGAGAGCAAGCAATGCAGAATATTGGCAATATTGACAATATTTACAATATTTACAATATTCACATGGCAGTGCCATTGTAAAAGCCATGGCACAATTGCAAGTGAAAGCCTGGCCATCCACATTGTCACCCTGAACCACGTTCATTCACATTCTATTGCCCAACCCCAATCTTGGCTAGGGATCATTGTGCCGTCATCTCGTTATGCAACAACGGAATATTTCGTACAGGGCAGCCACTGTCCTTGCGAGGCGCATTGCACGCCGGAAGTCACCTAGAATGTGCTCACGGCATTGGTGTGTCCCAATGCTAGAGCGGCAGCAAGCGGCGGAGCTTGCGGTGGGCGCGCTTGGCCTTGCGGTCAAAGTCTTTGGGTGGGCGTTTAAGACGAATAGAGGGCTTTTTGGTTGTGAAGGGGGTGCCCATCCTCTAGTCGCCTTGGCGAATATCATGGTACAATTGGGGGACCGTCAGCCGCTGACAGTCCCCCAATTGTACCATGTGGCGCTGCGCCACTGTCACCTTGACTTGGACGTGGTGTTGTCCATAGTTGTGGACGATGCGTAGTTCCGTGTTGGCATTGCAAAAGAGACGGTAGACTTGTTGGGCGTGCCTCATGCAGTTTGGCGTCAGTCCGTAGTGCTGCGCCGCACGGACGGTGGTAACACGGGCATGCACCGCATCCAATGCTACCTTGATGAAGGGCCGCTCACTTTCGTAGTCCTCCAAGTCGGCGGTAAGGACATCGATCGTAGTCATCAGCTTCTTGGCGGTAGTGTACTGCAACAAGAGAAGTTTGTTGCGCAGTCCTCAGTCCACGGCGCGCTCCTGCGGTATTTGAGACAGCCACTCTGCCGCCGGCCGCAAGCTTGGAACTGCCAGGCATGCGCCCGCAGGCCCGCCATCTAACACGCGGGCAAGGGTGCGGACGGCTTGCAAGTAGGTAGCCAAAGATCTCTTGTATTCCCTCAGAAGCTGTCTGACGGGTGCGGGGTCTTGATGGAAGCACTTGACCGCAGTCACGGCTCTAATTGGGCACCATCAAAGCGGAATGGCGACCACATGTGGTGGAAGATGAGGACTTGAACGTTGGGCGGGTATTCTTTGATGTAGTTGGACTTGTAGAGGTGCGTGCACAAGGGTGAGTGGTGCGTCGAGCGTGTTGATGTGGCGGAATGCGGAGGACGGCGGCCAGCGGTTGGGATTGGCGCCTTTGGAATAGCAGTCTTTGCTCAACTGGTTGCCATCAAGTTGTCATTGTTCATTTTGCTTGCAAGTACGGTTAGAGAAGGCAGGCGTTGGTGTAAGGCGGTGGCTTGCGCATGGAGGCGACGCAGAGTGGCGCATTTGGCCGCATTTAAGGGACTGCGTAGCGGGCGCGGCAGTTGTGCGGAGCGGTATGACAGGCGGGGCGCGGTGCAGGCAAGGGTGGTGTCACTAGTGTCAGTCGGTGCGTGGGGTGGTGTTCCGCAGGGAAGGTTGGTGACTCAGCGTGTCGTTGACCGAAGGGCATACGGCAATGTTGTTGTGGGGTATGCCGCGTTCCTTGCAGCTGTGGTGGTGGTGATGATGGTGACTGATGGACGTGGTGGTACGGGAGCGATGGGGAATGGTGGCGCGGGCGTGGCGGTGTCAGGAGGGAGATGCTGCGTGGGTGTGTTGTGGAGTGGCGTGGCTGTCGTGGCGGCGGTGTTGCGCGGGAGGATTTGGGGGGGTGGCCGGGGATGGGGTTATGCTGACGTGGGGGCGGATGTCATGGCAGGCGAATGTGCGAGGCGCACAACATTTACAAATATGGTGGTGCCTGCAGGGCGATGTCGCCAAGGTGTGCGGAGCAGGCAGCGCGGGGCAGCTGGCTGCAGACGCGGGCGGTGTTGGGCATGTGAGATTGAGTAAGTACGCAGGCACGAAGTGCACGTTGGTGGGGAGAGGCGCCGAGGGAAAGTGGGGCCGGGGGACAGGCCGGTTGCAGGGGGGCCTGGGTGGCGAGGGGACCGGGTGCAAACCCATTGTAGTTTGTGGCGCGTCGCGTGCTGGCACGCAGTGCACCATGCAGTACGGAGGGAGAGGGGTGCAAGGCATTGCAGTTGTTTTTTGTGGTGCGGGGCTTCATACCGCCCTTCGTGTGCCGTGCTGTGGATTGCTCATTAACAGGGTGCTGGCATGGTGCAGGTTGCATGTGCATCGCATAAAGGGGTGTGCACCAGGTTTGGGCGGATGTGGCGGTGGAGGCGCGCCGAGGTTGGCGGGTGGCGGCCATGCAAAGGAGGGGAGAGCGCGGCAATGCGTGGACGGTTGAAGCGAGCGTGTGTGGTGAGGCACGAAGTGGCCGCAGGGTGGGTTGCTTCCCGACGGCCGGTTGTGGGTAGCGTGGTAATGTTGTGTGTGTGGTGTGGCAAGGCTGGGGCGATGGGGGTTTGTGTTGCAGCCCCGTCGGCGGCCGCTGGTTTCCGGAGGCGTGGGGGTCGCCCTGCCCTGCGGCTAGGCTGTTGGAGGTCAGCCGGCTCTCTCCACCTTGGACGGTGGGCGTATCCGGGGCAATCGATTCAATGGTCGCGCGGTGGGCCCAATGCTCGATGGGGATCGATCCCCGGGGCCTGCTGTCGGCGAGAGGTGGCGGCGCAGCGCGGTGGTGGCTCGCTGGCTCGCGGGCTCGCGGGAGTCCAGAGAGTGGGCCAAAGATGTTACACGGATTCACAGCATGCGCGCACACATATCGCATGCGCGATGCCCGATCGTGGGTCCATCGCTGTCACATCAAGACAAGACAAGTCAAGTGCGCGTCCAGGCACATCGTCACCGTCCACCGTTCACCTACGATCGACCCATTGTCCTCTAATTCCAAGCGTCTAACACCCGACCCCCTGGCCCTAAGTACTACGACTTCAGGAGGCCATATCTTCGTCAATGCTTAATGGATTTGGGCGTTTAAAAGCGCGTTGGAACCAAGAAGCTCTAAACTACACTCACAAAAGGTCGATTTAGCCAATTACGTAATTCCCGCTTCAGAAATGTCAAATAAGCCTAACCCCCAAGCAGCCACGCCACAGTTTGGGTGGCGAGTGGGAGGGGAGCGAGTACAAGCGTATTGTATGTTGTGGCGTTCCGCGTGTTGGCGGGGAATGCAGCATGGGCAAGGGAGGGCAAGGGTGCAGGGGATTGCAGTTCTTGTTTTTGGGGTGCGAGCGTTTGTGCCACCCATCGTCTGCCGCCTTGTGGACCGGACAGTAACAGCGTGTTGCCGTGGTGCAGGGTGCATGGGCGTCGCAGAGAAGGATGTTCAACAGGTGTGGGGGGATTGGACGGTGGAGGCGCGCCGAGGTCGGCGGGTGGCGGCCGAGCAAAGGAGGCGAGGGCGCGGCAGCGGTTGTGAGGAAGGCGGCCTGCGGCAGGGCGTGCGTTGAGGCATGAAGCGGCCACAGCATGAGGCGGTGGGCGTCGGGCGGTTGTGGGTGACTGCAGTGTGGCAGAGGGATGGTGAGGGAGGTGGCGGCTGTGCACACAGTGGTTGGAAGGTACGTTATGTGATGTACGGCATGAGGTGCATGTCATTTTGTGCGCAGTCCCCCTCGTGGCCAAGGTGATCGCACAGAGGAAGTTCTGGGATGGCGTGTGCACAGCGTTGGTGATTGCGGACAGGGAGCGGGGGGACACCGTGCACAAGGGCGCCTGGAGGCGGCAATGCCTACGAGGAGACCGCGAGTGGGAGGGTGCATGGCGAGGCGTTAAGCGGCGGCACGGGGGGTTTGCCGGCAATGCTGCGCTGCTGTCCGAATGTTGTCTGAGGTGTGGACATGGGTGCAGGGTGGCAGAGAAAGAGCAAGAGGGACAAGGCTCACACGGGAGCAGGTCGAACGGTGGCGCTGTGTGGATTGGGGCATGAGGAGCAGGGTGATGAATTCAGTGAGCTGAAGGTTTGCTTCGTCGAAAATCTGGTGGAAGCGATGATGGCAAATTGTTATTGGATGAGAAGCATGAAGGGCGTTAGGCCCCTACGCTTTAGTTGTCCCCCCTATCTTGCCCTCTGCATGTAGATGTCGGCAAGGATTTTGATTGTGACGAGTCACAAAGCCGAGGACACGCTTGCATTCCATCTAATTCCTCTTTCAATCATTCCATTGGTACCTTTTGGCACGTCCCAACAATCCTTTTCTGGAAATAAGGAGGTGAGTCCCCTTCTCCAACCGAGTTTTGAAGCGCTTTGCCAATAGTCCCAAGCCCACCTTGCACAACAAGTAACATGATGGAAATGAGTAAAGCACGTTTATGCACTTTGCCACATTAAGCTATGGTGTTCATTGCGCCAATGCAATCCGCTAGACGGATATCAAAGGCTACAACATCCGACACACCAAACATTACACAAACCGATCAATCAGCCTACTAAGTTCAACCTTGGCAGAACTGCCCCAGCTAAAGCATGGATTACATCCAGGACCTCGGTTGATTCGTTCTATGCGTGAATACAGCTCTGCGGTCCTATACAATTCAAATGAAATATTGAAGTATGTACCACACGTACGGCTCCAATCTTCAACCCTCGCTATTTTCCCTCCTGGATGCATGCTCAAAAACGTTCTTAGCCAAGGAAACGGCATGCTGGCAGGCTACACATATCTTGTTCTTTGCGTCGACAGGCTTGGCGGCACCCTCCACCGCTGCCAATTTGAGCATCTCCTGCAAAATCCGAAATCCAGGGTCTGACATGGGGGGCTTTGCGGAGCTCCATGCCTTCATGGCGTTGTTTCGTAGGACAATCGATGGGTGGTTCAGCAGAATCATGAACAGCTGGTGCACGCGTTCTTCCACATCTTTGCTCCTCCTGCCCGTATTCCATTGACCATCCTCATCTCTCTCACGCGGCGCTGAAGGGGTGAACATGGCGGCGCCTGTGACAAAGCAAGAACCAATTAAAAATGCCATGGTTCAAGCGCAGGTCAGATGTAAACGCAAGAACTTAGGGAATACAATATGGTCGCTTCTTATCGCGAACGAAGGGTGTCACTGCAGTGACAACATGCTGCCATTGTTGCAACTTCCTTAAGGTCTCCAAAACTGGCAGAACAACAAATTGAGTCTAACAAAACTGTTATAAAACAAAATTTGTACACAAAATGCACAATGAAAGGATGCTGGGCACCTGCTATCTCCTCGTCTTCTGACTTGGCAGCATCAAGAAGATGCGGCCAGACTTCGCCCCGGTCGGAGTGCATCGTCAAGGTCCTGATAATGGCAATGCGAACAGATTTGTGGTGCTGGGGCTCTTTTGCCATTTTCAGAAGCCTTTGGAAGGCGGACTCAGCATAAGCACCCGATCTCCGAGAGAGCACACCCAGTATTTGCACAACCTGCCTGCCACCTGCGGTCGTGTCCATGGGGAGGTTGTCGAGTTGAGCAAGAGCGTCAGCAGTGGAAAGTTGCAGGACCCATTGTCTTACATACTTTGACGCGACATAGCTCCTGTCATCTCCCAACGCATCAAGAAGGGAGGATCGAGCCTGCAGCGTCACACACAAGAGAAGGGTCCATTAAGCGACCAGTCTCGCACACCCGCGAGCTCGCGGGTGTGCTCGGTGCACTGCGATCTGACAGTGGTCTCGGGACCACTGTGAGATCGCAGTGCACAGAGTACACTATTGCTGCAGATGCATCAATCATATTTCTGACCTGCTTCTTCAAAAGGGTGGCTGCGTTTGACAGCAAAATGTCAACACAATCAACAATATACTATCTTTCATGTGTTGGCTGCCAATACTGGTTCACAGTTCTCTGGAAATACCCTTTCATGAGAACTTCGCTGCTTGCAGCTATGCTATCACAGCACTGCACAAAAGTGAGAGCAGCAGACGAGCAAAATACACCGGGGACCGCTTCTGATGGTCATTCGTCAATGGATGCAACGATTTTATGCAGTTCTGTTATCTTTGCTCATTTGAACTCGCCCACCTGCTCGGGATCATCGACGGAGGCCAGCAGAGCCAACGCTGTGTTCCGCACTTGTTGATTCTCGATGCCTTCTGCGGCCAGGCTGATGAGGGTCTCTGGACATGCGAGCTGCAACTGCACCATCGACTTCAATAAGCTGCGCTCCGTCTGGAAAGACATTTTGCCACTCAGGATCGCGTCCCTGTACAATTCTGCAACTGAATTCTGTTGTTGTGCAGTGAGCCTTCGCAGCATATGGGCCTGGACGCAGCCCACCCATGGTTTACCATTGAGCTTCTTGCAGTCAAACATGCCATCTTCAGGCAGATCTGCTGTCAGCAGCTCGGACACGAGCTTCGTGCTTGTGATGACGACATCTCTCACGCAGCCGAGAATAAGGTAACTACGGTCCTGATGGACCAGCCTGGCAATTAAATCATGAGCCTTCTTTGGACACTTTTTGATCATCTCGTGCAGTATCGCCTCAGCTATGCATTGTGGACTGGAGCCGCCCTGTGTGCGTCTTTCGCTGCGAGCATGCCCTGAAACAGAAGCGATGTGTTGCGTCGCAGCGGATGAGAGGAGCATTGCCTCCAGCTCGTCCCAGGCGCTGTGTTTCATCAAGCTCTGCACAAGGCCTCCAATACGGTGCACAAGCGGTGGCTTTGACATGTTGGCGAAAAGAATGGACCGGATGGACGGAAACAGGTCCATTCGTTCATCAATCAAATGTTGCAGCAGGTCCGCAAAGTCTTCAGGCTGTTCATGATTCCAGTCAGCCTCTTGAAGAGCACTCACGGAAAGATGCCATAATTCAGACCAGATCTCACGCCCACTCACTGTGAAGCCAGCAAGGTCAAGGCCTTTGTCCGTGCGCCCTATGGCTGCCTTGGTGCCGGAATGAGGGCTGTTGCTTGCAGATAGAACACCAAAGATTTCCTCACAGTCATTGTAGTAAGTGTTAAAGACGGCTGCCGCTATCTTGGCCACTTTTGCGCCACTCCCAGCTGCCTTGATCGCTTCAGCCACTCTCACAATCGAATGGGCAACATGCCTGAAAAATTCGATTGCAAATGCTTCTTTCTCTGGTTTCTTCTTGCCTTTGGCTGCCTCACTGATGTGGCTCTTCAATAATCTGCCAATACTGTGCCCCTGGTTCATTCCTTGCCACTGGCTGATGCATTTTTCAAGCTGACCAGCCGCCCACTGCGGGTTGCGGGGGAGAACTGAAAGGCAAATATCTTCTATCAGTTGAATCGAGCCTGGTGCTGCGTCGTTAGCACACATTGCATCGCTGATGATGACCTCCAGCCGTTCAAGTTCCGCTGCTTCCGCTCGCTCTGCCACACCGGCAGTGTGCAGGGCCTTGAGCATTGTCTCCCTCACAGAGTCTCTCTCATTCTTTCTTGTGTGGATCAATTCGATGGCCTCGAGAGTGTAGGCATAGTCATTGCGAACTGACAGGATAGCCCATTCCAGACCCATAGCCCGTATTTGAGCATCATCCGATTTCAGCCACGGCGCCAGGCAACCCATCATCTCATCCCATGGGAGCAACTGAATATAAGGCAGTAGTTCCTGCGGACGCTGGCTGTGAGCATCCGCCATGAGCTTCTTGCGGCTTTGGATGTGAATACTGGCCGCCTTGAGCCTGCAGCCAAACCAACAACTGCTCACAACAACCACCCATGGCATCCAGTGCGGTGTAGGGTTGAATTTTATGCAAGTATGCGGATATTTACTTTCCCTACAGATGTTCTTGGTACTACCTCCGTCCCATAAGTCGTGTCCGATCTCCAATTCTTTCCATAGCATTGCAAGATCACTCAATCAGTCAATCCATCACCGTGTTTGGCTTCCTTGGTTGATTTTAAGTTGATGTGGATCTTGGTTGCATTGGTCACACCATACGACATGATATTCACAGCCTTATCAAAAACACCCCTGTTCGGTTCCATGCAGGCCCTCATTTCCCCGCATAGTTGCATTGGCCTTATTCTGGTATGTACCAACCCATTTCCCCAAGCTCATCAAGAACCTTATTGTGTAATGCAAATGGGCATTGCTTCATCCTTTCAAGAGTATCGACATCACTATATTCATGTATTTGGGGATCGTCTCTTCCAGGATACTAAGCCGTGCTTCCAATATTCTGGCTTCCAACGTATCACCAGTGATACACAGGCACGGTACCGTGTTTGCCTCAATATAGGGCGTTTTCTTGGTTGACGTAAGTATCTACAGATTTGCAAGCCTTGACAGTCTGCAAGATAGATGATCTCGCACTGGCCAAGGCGTCTTTTAGGCCTTTGACCACTACTTCCACGCGGTTGTCGTTAACAGCCCGAATTTTGGGCTGCGGACTGCGATCCCTTTCCTTGCAAATCCTCTTTGGGATTGAGCCGCAATTGTAATGCATATCAAAGCAACAGAACATGCCGTTCTCCAAGTGACAGCTCAGCTTGTTCAACCTCTTTGAAAGAGCAATGCCGTCATGTTGTATACTGCCCAATGCCCTGATAAAATGCAAGTCGCATTTCGGCTCCTGCTGACACATCACGAGGACGGCAATGCCATTTGGAACATTTGAGGGCTTTACGGATACTTGGTATAGCGGTTCGAAGGTTTTTAAGCCAATTTTTCCGACTCACGCGATCTGACCTCCGTTTGCGCAAATTGGAGATCGAACACGACTTTTGAGACGGAGCTGTATGTGAACGGCTCATGACTGGGCCCTGCCCAACTCGCACCACAAAGACAAAATCGACAGGCACGCTGTAAGGAGCCTGCAATAGGGGCCCCACATGGATGCAGGAACACAGCTATGTTGTGTTAGAAGCATCTGCACACAGTGCGCTGCACTTTCCCCCGAGGCCTGTCGCCTCTCCCATACCTCTGCTGTTTCGGAAGCAGGCGACCCGTCTTCGCTGTTGTCGGCATCGCATTCCCTGGTGGTGTAACTTGAAAGTGAGGCAGTGGCTTCTTCCTTGGGCGCCGCCTGTGAGCGTTCGCCTTGGCCGTTTTGTAATTTTGGACACGGCCTCTGGCTGTCTCGTTCCTGCAGCCAAAAGCAAGCAACTGTCTATGAAAATTGTCCACGATGGCCAGTGCAGTGTTAGAGTAAATGACAAATATGCATATTCTTAAATAAGAAGTAAGAAAAGAAGAGTACTCTTTTTTTTGTGAATGTTCTTTTTGTGTGAAACAGTACATGCATGCACAGAGGCGTTTTGTTTATGGGGTGGTACTGGACGAGGGCGAGCTGGACGCTGTGTTTCGGGCGCCACGGGGCCCACAGGACTGGTCATTGTTGGGAGGTCATGACGTAATCTGTTGCCGCTAGCCGTCGAAATCTGTAAATAGGGCCGTAAATACGATTATTTCTCAATTTTCGACTTCTTGTGCGTAAAATCGCAAAAGTGAAAATGGCGCCGTAAACATAAATAACATCCCGGCAAACCTGGCGCAGACAAAAGACGATGGGTGCGCTGGAAACCCCCGCAACAAGATATCCCTGTGAATATATGAATACAGCTGTGCACGGCGATTCGGCCAAGGCGCTCCACTTCTCCCTTACCTCTGCACTTTTGGAAGCAGACAACCCATTTTCCCCGGTGGCGGCCTCTTATACCCTGGTGGCAGCATCAAAGTAGCTGGTGGCGGCCCCACGTTCCTTTGTGGTGGCACCAAACTAACTGGTGGTGGGTTCGCATACCCTGGTGGTGGCCTCACATACCCTGGTGGTGGCCTCACATACCCCGGTGGTGGCCACTTATACCCTGGCGGCAGCATCAAATTAACTGGTGGTGGCCTCAAATTCCCTGGTGGTGGCATCGAATTTCCTGTTATTGGTATCGCAGTCCCTGGCAGTGGCCTCGCGTTCGCGGCCGCTGCCATCCAGTTTCCTGGCGGTGACATTCTGTTCCTGGGTGGCGGCATTTGAATGTTAGGCAGCAGTGCCCGTGGAGCTCGGTTGTGAGCATCCGCCTTGAGCTTCTTGAAATTGTGGATATGCGTTCTGGCTGCCTCGACCCTGCAGCATGAAGGCAAATGTCAAATAGGCTTGTCCTCACTCTTTTCTAAGCCAATGATAGGCCAAATTTCTTGATATGTGAAGCGGTCCTTGTCTGAGCACATACCAACCAACCAACAAGCCTGCAGCACGGCATGAGCACATGTATGTTGTCAGCAGCATGTGCACACAGGCGCCCACTGAACGGTGAACGGCATTGCCCCTACCCCCATGAGGCATGTCGCCCTTACCTCTCTTACCTCTGCTCTTTCGGAAGCAACTGCAGTGCGCCCGCTCCCACTGTCCAAAACGCCGAGTGCTTGGACCGGTCGTAGAGCTCACCCCTGACGTCCTCGGGGAGCAGCCGCACTGTCATCGACTGCTGCATGGGATCCCCAATCAGGGCGTCCAGCAGGCAGCGCATCTCAGGGCTTCCGGCCGCGGCCGCCGGCACCGCCCCGAGCACGGCCTCACACACCGTCTCCGCGTGTCCGCGCGCCACCTTCCACCTCTCGTAGGCCTCCCTCTTCTGTGGCTCAGGCAGGGCGCCCAGCAGGTCTGGATGCTTTACGAAAATGCCCCCGTGCGCCCTAAAAACATCCCTGACCTGCTCCTCTGTCAGCGTCTTCATCACTTCCACGCTGGGCCGCCCGTGCCGGGCCAACAGCTGCACGGCCTCCAGCCTCAGGTCGACCGGCAAATACTTCACCACATCCGGGCTCACGAATGGATTCCTAGACCACGCCAGCGCCCAGGCCCGGTCCCTCACGCTCCTGAACGCTTCCTCCTGGCCTCCAGGCCCATCCCAGCCAATCGCATCGAGCCGCGCCTGCCTCCAGTCCTTCCACGCGCAGAACAGCTCCCGTCGACCCCGCGCGTCCAACTTCCTCATCACCTTGACCGCGGTGCCTGGCGCCTCGAGGCACACCTCCAGGCTCCGCCTGGCGTTCATTCGGCGGCACAACCTCCACAGCTTCGACACGATGGCAGCGTTCCTCTCCGTGGCGTGGATTCGACACGCGGCCACGCCCGGCGGCGAATCATCCGCCATGGCGCCTTCCTTGGCCTCTGGGGCTGGCGCCCGCTCGAGCATCGCGTCCAGCGCCCGATTGGGCAGCTTCCTTAGGATCGGCATCCACAAAAAGCCAGGCCTCTCTGTGTACGGCCTTCTCATGAACGCGGCCAGAGTCTCCTCTGGATACTCCGAGGCAACCCTGCCGATGACGGACGCATCTGACAAGAAGGCTTTCTGCAGCTTGCCGCTCAGGTCGCCCAGTACGCGGACAGCGAACCCCGGGTGGCACCTCGCCACGGACGGGAAGGTCTCCGACGCCAGCGACGACCCGACCGCCATGGGCCACAGCTCCTCGACCACCTGCAGGCTGCAGCTGCCCAGCAGGCTCGCTGTGGCGGGCCACCCACCGCGCACGTGGGCGTCCACCAGACCCCGCCGCCTGCCGCGCAGCCTCTTGGCGTAGGCCTCCGAATCAACCTCCCCACTCTTCCAAATCTGCGCCACCGTTGCATCGTCGGCCACGCGGGGAGCGGCGAAAACGGCCAAGTCGCGAAGCGTCCGGGAGGATGCGTTGAAGGATCGGAGCACCACGGCGCTGTCGCGGCTGCCGTGGGCCGCGTGCAGGGCCAGGATCTTGCCGTAGAGCCCGTGGGCGTGCTCGAGCCGAGAAAGGCAGTCGGCCGCAGCCGCGTTTGTGAGGGACTCGCGACCGAGATGGACCATCCGCGCGATCCGCTGATTGTGCGACAGGCCCTCCAGCTCGACGAGGAGCCGCTCGGGCGTCATCTTGGCCCGCAGGGCAGTGGCGGCCGCTGGGAGGTTGGGGTCCCAAGGACCCTGGGATGCGCCGTGGTCGTCGGAAGAGATTGGCGAAGCTGGGGAATCTTCGCATACCTTGCACCTGCATGTGCGGGTGGCGTGTCCAGGGGCCATGCAGCAGCTGTGGGAAGCTGTGGCCCTGACTGGAGGGTGGAACCATATGCAACCCTCGAAGGGGGTTGGTCGCCCGGTTGTCCGATGCATCATGCATCGTATCCGGTCCTCCGCCCCATTCAAAAATGCGAGTGTCCGTCAAAACCCGCCACAGTTTTTGGCAGCCGCGAGGCCCCTGCGCCTTGCCAGTACGAAAGCGAAGGCTGCGAGGGCTGCCCTGGGCGTCCAGAGATCGAATCTGCCTGTGGCACATGCCGCTGACAAGCACACACCCCATGGCATCGGGATTGGCGGCACCGTCGGGCTCTTATTTATGAGGGTGGGGCGCCGCAAGCTTCACGCCGATGCATAGGTTCCGAAACAACACAGCAAGTGCACCAACTCGCTCGGGCTCATGGTGGCGACTCGCCATTCGCGAGGAAGGGTGGAAAAAATGGAGGAGCCAAGGAGGCCGCAGAAACTGGCAAGCAAATGGCATCTCGCATAAGAGTGGCCCCTTTGCACTTCCCCGGCACCCTGACAAAGCAACCAACCCGCAGGCGAACTGCCAGGGATGGCGTATTGGAGATAGACGATCAGCTGGCATGTTCAGTGGGCTTGCGAAACCAACCGTGAGGCCAGGCATACAGGCCAAAATGGCTGAAAGCTCAATCCGAAATTCATGCAACGCCAAAAATGTAGGGTAGGTGACCCTAAACCCGGTCCATCCGCCTCGCCCTGTTCGTTTGCTGGAGCGCCGCTTTGGCAAGCTTGGGGATGCTGAAGGTCCCCTTTTGCCAGCCGCTCTGCCGCTTCGGCTCGGGTTTGAGCCTTTTCGGTAGGGTGGGGCCTCGCAATGCCCCCACTTACTGGCGCGTTGGCCATTTCGGTTGATAGTCATTACAGGTCCGGGCGCGGCAGCCCCAGTTCGGCTTCTTCAGGCAACCCCTGCCCCTTTTCACATGCACTTGTGGCAGCCAGGGCAGACGTGGCGCCTCGCAACGCTCGCGCTTGGGCTAATTTCAATGAACTCTGCTCCAATTCAACCACCAATCAATGTCAGTGCTAGAATGGGCGCCAAAGCCCCACTTGGTTATCATGGAGACACAGGTTGTCGCTCGCCGCTCCCTGTTTTGGCATTTTGGCTCTGTTCTCTGAAGAGCACAGCCGCCAGGCGAAGGCCTCAAAGTGCCCAGAGCATTGGCTTGAGGGGGCAGGTGCCCACAAGTCACATATTTGTAATCGCCACTGTCGCTGAAAAAGGCAACCGGCCTCTGTTGCAAAAAAAGAACAGTTCGGGCATTGCCGCAGAAACGAACAACGTTGTGGCAATGACGAGCACCACTGTCGCAAAAAAGAATATGTCGCAATAATGAACAATTTCACTGGCGCAAAAAAAATAGTGACCGGTCGTCGGGCTAGGCATTGAATTTGGTGGTTGTGTGCTGCAGGACATCAGGAGACCTATCTGATGTTGTGACAACAACGTTTCAATTGATTAGGACTACTTGCGAGTACGCAGGAAGAGCTGAGATGTCAGTGAGCTCTTGCTGGAACGGAGTATGTCACTGAGGGGACATGTGTGACGGTGGGTGTTGGATCGAGATTTGATGTGAGCATTCTTTGATACTTTCCAGTGAAGGGATTCGTGTGGGAAATGTCTTGGGATTAGAAAAGAGCGAGCCCTTGTGTCATTGTATAGGGTAGCGGAGGTTGTTCTGGATTTGAACCTCTATGCAACAATCGAGTGTGCTCTGTTGTTTACTTGCTGGCTCCAGAAGACAAAGCTATGCTGCTGTTGCAGTTCGTAGGGACCTGCAACGGCACCACGTAGTCAGCTCCGGTGTGTGTGGCCATCGTGGCCTTCGACCTGTGTTTCCGACCCTCTCCTTAATTAGGGGTCCTTCGGCCCTTATAAGGGTCGAAGGACCCCCTCGCAAGGTTGCATCCTGGGACTGCACTCGTTGTGCATGCTCCCGCTGTGGTGGTACATTCAGCCCACACATTGTATTCTCTTCCACCGCTGCGCCCATTCGAATATTGTATTGGTCACCATGGCCGGTGGAGATCGGCAATGTAAAAATGCATAAATTCCGGCTGTGTTTACGAGGTAGATAACAAGTCTGGCCGCTGGCCCGCACATATGTGGCGATGGCACGAGGTGGGTGAGCGCTTTTGGTAAGACTTACAATAGAATGCTGGGAGCTCAATAAATTGCCAGCGGATACCCCACACTAGGAAAAAAAGGGCCAAATAACACTTTTGCAAACACACATAAAACACATTTCATCAAAGTTCTGCATGCTAAGAACACAAAAATAACACAAACCCGTAAACTTTGTACACGTTTGAACACGCGTAATTTGGTCCTTTTTCTCCTAGTGCCACCAATGGGGTCGGGGTGGGTGTACACACATTACCAAAGTGCAAACGCTGGCCAGGATCACCAGCGGTGGTTCGCGCTAGCTTGGTTTTTGTTGCACTAGGAAAAAAAGGTCCAAATAACACGTGCTCAAACGTGTATAAAGTTTACGGGTTTGTGCTATTTTTGTGTTCTCAGCGTGCAGAACTCTGATGAAATGTGTTTTATGTGCGTTCGCAAAAGTGTTATTTGGCTCTTTTGTTCCTAGTGTTGTGGGCCAACATCTTGCCGGTGGTAGTTATCGACTTTGCAGGCCATTTCACATCGACGTCCGTACTCATTTTCTGATTGATGAGCTAGGGCATCAAGTCTTGAGTGCATAGTTGAATTCTGTGCATGTGTGCATCTTTTTCAGGGCAGGCACATGATATAAACGTCACGTTATATAAGTGGCCACTGATGACATTTATATAATGACATTTATTGATGGCCATTTATACAAATGGCCACTGATGGCATTCGCTGTCCTCCGAAGTCGATGGCCAGATACTCAGTGTTGCACTCTCGTCTGCTGCGGACTGACCTGGTCCCACGGCCGTACCTGGTCAGCCTTGCCCTGCAATCATCACGGTCTTTTGCAACGTCCTGCCCTGTGCTTGTACTTTCTTGTTACGTGTCTTGCCTTTCTTGCTCGAGCCGGCAGGCCGGCCCGTCGCCACTAAGAGATTGCACGTTTCAGCAGTGTGCAGCCCTTCCGACAATGACACATTGCTTGTCAGAAAGGTGAAATGAATAGGCACATTCGTACACTGCCCTTTTTATTGATCGACTTATTTCGTTCGAGTTCTGTGATGCAGTCTCGTTCTCCCATTTGTTTGGTCCCCAGCGTGTCTTTTTGTCGCTCTGACTCGTTGGAAGTGGACTGCCGCATGCCTACCACTGAATTCTCGACCACACGGGGCGGCAGTTCATGAAATGCGTGGAAGTCATCTACGGGTTGCAACATAAGCTACGAAAATGGCGCAGCTTCTGCAGGACGTCTTGCCCGTCAGAACCTCGAATTCTGCCCTTGACTCACAGGCAACACCGCGGGACCTTGTTTACCAGGAGATGTTGGTGGCTTTGCAACTGAAATCGTACAGTGCCGCAGACGCAGTACCCAAACTGACCACAACGACCCCGCTGGCTCTGCCGCCAGCCCATGCCCAACGCGCTGCATTCTGAACTACTGTTCTGCAACATGGTATATGTTGAGATCTCCTTCAACTGGTTTCAACACGGTTTACCCCGGGGTGAATACGATGGGAAATTGTGGTAAAGGAAATTGCTGATTGTTTGGCCCAACAGTCAGCAATTTCCTTTACCACAATTTCCCATCGAACTAAAAGATGAACGGGGTCGGCATGGCGTGGAATGGGACGCTTTAGAATTGTTTGAGAGGCGCCTGTTAAATTGCAAATCATTCAGGTCGGCGGCATCGGATGCTATCTTCCCTTTGAAATCTCTTCCGGTGACAAGCTCGATTGGAGCTCAGCTCAGCGCGTGCTCCGACACAAGTACAAATACATATATTTATAACTTGCAATGTTGCTTAGCAACATTTATGCTGCGAGTGTTGCCTGACATTGGCACCATTACACATGGTCCAAGTGCGCTTTTTACGTGCCTGCACTGATTTCAATAGTACATTATGACAGCACATGCGCAACTTGCAAAACGCATTTTCGGTGGGCGGGTGCTGCGCACAACATCCGGGTGATTGCTCGGCATCTCAACCGCGGGGTGGTTGGACATTTGTGGAAGGGGTCACCTGAATGTGTGCCACCGAGAGCTGCGCTGCGGCCTGTGAATCTCTGGGCGAGCATCAATCTCCCCATGGCCATCCACGCCGCACCATATGCTCAAGGCGCTTCCATGGGCAGTGGATCGCTGTTCTTGTGAGCGGCCCCTGGAATCCGAAGTGCGGTGGCGGGCGTCGGAATGCGCATGTTCTGGAGTGTGAGTCCTCCGATCGGGTGCATCAAGCAGCTCCTCTAAGGATCCTTCTGTAACAATCAAGCGACGCATGTGTGCGTCTATACAGACGCACGTGGCTACACGTCAAGTGTACAGCTCATAACGTATTCCCGATATTTTCTCCTGTTACTTTAGACTTTTCACACGCAAAATAGAGGGCAGGCATGGCTATCGATTCTAAGAATCTTCGACGAGACTAAAACGCTCAAAAGAAGCTTTAGAGAAAAGAGAAAACCCTTGGGAGCACGCCCAAGGCAAGCTCCCATGATTTATTCGTTACATAAATTCGATACATTAAGGAGGCGAAGGCGGGCTCAATGCGCAACTCCTTCGAGCACCACAGCCGCCCCCTGCGCAGAGTCAAGCCCGGCCCGCCCATGCAGACGATGCGCCAACGACACGAAAAGTAGACGAACCAAAGATGCCAGGAAACGACTAGCTAGCAGGTTGCGGCGACGCCAATCTCGCCAACCACTCGAGCGGCACCACCGTATTTATGCTGTCACCGCGACCTACACACGGGCTTACATATCTGCGCCTCAATCAGCTCCCGCCGGTCTCTATGTTATTTGTCCCATCCAGGCAGCCCATGGGTCCCCCGTTGATTCGTCGTCTGCATTCTCCGGCCGAAAATTCGCCCACGGGTCCACCGGGCGGTCGTCGAGCGGCGCCATGATTCCCCGTGTGTTGAGTCGCGCTAAATTCACCGCGCAGTTTAAATGACGCGCCGCTTTGACGCCCAGACAGATCCTTCCCCCACGGCGGCGCAGGCCGGCCGTACTCAGAGCTTTCGACCCTCTTCGAAGCCGGCAGGCTTGGTACCGGCGGTTGCCCTGGCGAACACGGGTTTGCCGACTGGAGTGGGGACAACTGGAGGCCGAGGCGCTGAGACTGGAGTCGCCCGAACCGTCACTTGGGGAGCGGCCACCGGCGCCTTGGGCCCCGTCAGTTTCTTGTAGAGGTTGTAGAGCAGGATGGACTTGACTGCGGAGCAGGGAAACACAGGGTCCATCAGCATGTATGTGAGCGCATATCAGCCAATTCATCAGCGCGTGTAATGTACGTGCGCACAAGTATGCAACGCCTCCGGGCTAATCAGAGGCCCGCGCGAGCGCAGCGCACCCGGCTGTCCGGGCTTGTACGTGTGGACAGTAAATCAGCATGCATTCACGCGGGATGAACATGGAGCTGTGTGGGCGGCACCGGAACGGATCAGCATGGATCCGCGTGGGGTTGCGGGCATGGATCGGGCCCGGTGATCGATCGGATCGCGATTGCAGGTGCGCAGCGGATCCCAGATCGTCTGTGCCGTCCCAGCTGACGAGGAGAGGCACCGCCTCGGACATCGAAACATTGGCGCCAACTTGGACGCCCGCCCGGGGCGCGGACCGGGGCGGCGGGAACATCGTGCGTTCCGCGCCGGCACGCCGCGCAGGCCGCGCCGCATGGACGGCTCCCCCCGAGGTCCATGCGCTGAATTCGACAAGTGGACACGTCGGGGAATGGGCGGGCGCTGCTGTTGCTGCGAAAGTGGCATGTGCGACTCTCGCTGCGCCGTTCAGGTCCCTTCGATTTCCAATTCGCCGCGCTCCGCACCGCGTCGGAACGCCTTCATGCACCGCGGTCAAATCCGCTTTCCTGTGCCCCGCCCAGCGTCCATGCGAATTCGTTCCGCCCTGGGGCCATGCTCGCCGCTCGCCCCGTGCTCCGCTTTCCCGCAGCAACAGAAAAGCCGTTCATGTCGCGTTGAGCGTCCGCACAGCACACCCCGCCCTGCATCCAAGGCGCGTCCCGCCAATCGCGCCCACCCGAGCAAACTCCAGCGAACGCGCCGCTCGACCAAACTTCAGCCATGGCCAGCGCGCGCCACCCGCCTTCACTCCCATTCCCCCGCTCCAGTTCACGACCCAAGGATGCTCCACTCACTGATGATTGCCTCGCTCTCCTGGACGGCGAAGGCCATCAGGACCATGAAGAGCACGCACACGGCTGCACTGGTCCTCGCCATCTCGCCTCTCTGCCCTCTCTGCGCTTGAGCTTCGCTCAACTCTGCCTTCCGAGCGCTCGAGCTACCCTTCCTCTACTCCTTTAGTCTCAGCCGGCGCAGCCTTGCTGTTACTTAGGCCGTGCTCACGGATGGGGGCCGCAGTTTTCGGATGGGGACGGGGCGGGCTGGCGGTGGCCTTTATGTGACTGCCGGACCTCGTACGTTGAGGCGTTCCATGAGAGTTTCCCAGGGGCTTGAAGCGTGGAAGAGACTGCGACATTACAGGACGCTGACCGCACCATGACCGACGGGCCCGCAATGGCGGGGTATGATGCACTCAATCTGGCCGATTATGTGCTCCTGGGGGGAAGTTCCGTCCCTGCAGGCCTTCGCGCGCTGGGGCGGGTTGTGGGCGCCGAGGATGTTGAGATGCACTGTTGTACACTGTTGCAAACCAATCACAGCGGCAAGCGGCCATTAACCAGGGCGCTGCGGTACCTTCTCGACAGCGGCTAGGAGTGTGCCCCTTTAGTGAGGGTATTTGCGTCGCGACACCTGATGGACACTGTTGAGGACCGTATAAACCCATCAAGAGCACTTGACAGGCGGGAAATTGCCCAAGATAACGCAGTCTCGATAGAGGCGCGAAATGGGCCCCTTGGTGACCACGTGGTCGGCCTTACCCAGACCGTTGACAGCCGAATTTGCGGGCTCCATCGACAATCAGTCCATCGCACTGGTAGGAAAGGGAACTAACGCAGTTAATGGGTTTCTGTCTTGGGAGGCGTGGGTGCAAGACGAGAACACGGCAGCAGCTTTGGCAGGGGACCACATTGGGGTGAGCGCTCCTGCCCTTCGCCAGGACCTTAAGGGCCGAAGGCGGGGAGTGAACACGGCCGAACGGTTTGTTTCGGGAATGCTTTTAAAGGGAGGCACGGCCTGATGTTTACGCGAGAATGCTTGGCGAGCTTTCTAGTGTTGGCGTGTGGTGCCCAGAAAATGGAAGTGCCCTCGAAAGGCCGTCTCTATTTTGTTTTGCGCGCCCGTCCCTAGGAGGGTGAGCTCGGTTTGAAGGTGGAATTTGTGAAGTGCAAAGTACTGGGGAAAGGACTGTGTTTTGAGTCGCGAAGCAAAGGCAAATTATGGTACGACGGTCATTGGGCTTTGCTTTGATGATGGACACCCGCTGGCAGAAATTTGTAGCGCACTTGCCCAGTGTAGACTCGGCGAGGAAGAGTATCCCGTCAGTCAGAAACTCCTTCACACACCATGTTACTTTGCAGAAAATAATAAGCGTCAGGTACAGCAATGTGGATGGAGATTGCGCTAACTTTCAGCACCGTTGTTCGCTCATGTATCTACTGTTTCTCCAGAAGACACGGCTGTGTCCTGTTTTGCTCACATTCACTAAGGTAAATTCCGCCGGACACCACGCTCACACAATTTTCATGCTGCGTTCATGGCCACGGTTCCGAACAATTCCCTTCCAAAAACGGACCACTATTTGGCAGACGAGCAGTTGACGCCACGGGGTCGTCTGAGCAAGATTGATGTAAATAAACCCATGGCTGAAACCACAATTAACGCCCAGTAGACCTAATTGATGTCATGCATAATTATATGTTCGCCGCAATGCACCCAGCGTCCTATCTAAGTCAAAATCTATCAGCATACGCAAACGCAATCATCTGAATCTGGCGATGTTGCCGAAGCAGCAGCTGCGCAACCACGCAGCGCACTGAAGAACTGAGAAAAAAGAAAGCAAGTAGTCTCGGCTCCTGAAAACATGCATATATTGCATGTACACATGTGTACCGTGTATGCCTAATACCGGAACGAACCCGTAACTTTTGGGCGTCCTGATGCCAAAGGTGCGCAGTCCGTCTGCGCTATCGGCGTTGGATGCAGCCAGGCGGCTGTATCAAACGGACACGCCGCTGCGCCGCGTGTAGGGTAGGTTCATGCACGTGCTTCAACGTTTGGAAGTTAGCCGACGAGGAATTTACAACTCAAGGCTGGAAGTGAGACTGTTGAGAACAAAACCTTTGAGAGCAGGGCTGTTTAGCATAATAACTGTTGAGAATCATAACGAAATTATGGTTATCGCTGCCTGACTTGATCTTCCTTAACATGTGCACCAGCCTGTGTTATAGCTTAATGGGAAATTTAACTGTGACAAATGGACAACTTTGCCCACAGGGCCCTTCGGCTAATGGCCGGCGGTGTTCGGGTTGCATTCAAACGTGAGGGCCTCCCATCGATAGAGAGATTTCAGCATCTCATCCACCTCAATAAGCAGTTGCCGTGTGGCAATCGGCAACGCTCGTGAAGCCAGTCGCCCTTCATTGTGTTCCACAGAGGGGCGTCAAGAACCCTCGTCATTTCGCATCACCTGGATGACAAGCTGAGGGCGTGTCCTGCTGACCAATCAGCCATGGCGGAGCGTCCGCAAAGAATCTGTCTTTACATTCGCTTAATCTTTCCTCAAGACAAGTTCGGACATCGGCGCCCAGTTAACGACGCCACAACACCAACATTGCATGAATGCATTGACTTACAAAACAGCACACTGATGCATTGTAATGCGGCATTCGATTGCCGACCACCGCCGAATTCGGGAGGCATCTTCCATGCGCCACCCCATGGGAATAGTAGCCTTCCATCAATGTGACGCACCAATTTGGTAAGCTGTTACCGGGGATCAGTCAGCAACTGCAGCAGTTAATGTCTTTCAACACACGCGCTCCGCCTGTCAGTTGTTCGATCAGTGTGTCGAGAGAACAGATGCCGCACCCAATACCGGTCACTCGATAATCATTCGTTGCACAAATAAAGGCGAAGTCAGGTCCAAGAAACAACCCAGGTCAGCGTCCCAGCTCTAGCCCCCACCAATAGTTAACGCAGGTTCACCACAACCCAGCGATTTCGAAACCCGGAAAACTGTCATTAGCTAGCCAGACACGACGGGTCCCCTGACGGCACCGCCACCATCGACCGCCAAGCGGACCGAGGCACCTCCCCAAGCTCCTGACCGTTCCCCTTTCTTAACCCCTCTTCCAGGCAATCGATGGGGTCCCTCCCGTTTTCGAGCTTCTCGTGTGGATCCGCCACGGACCACCCCATCCACGATCATGGACGGGGATGCTCCCGAGCATCTCCCCATGCATCACTCCATGCACTCTTAGCAATCACTGTGCGATTATTTACGGGCGCCGCGAGCCCCCTCGGGCAGTGAAAGGAAACATACACGCCGCTCTAGAACTCAACAGACATGCCTCCCGGCGTATGCTTCACAGACATGTGGAAGAGCATTCTAGAATCTCTCCTCCTGTTCTGCAGGCCAGCTGCGCTCAGAGCCTGCGGCCGTCTCCATAGTTGGACGGGGCCTCGTAGCCCTCCGGCTTGGTCCCGGCGGTTGCCCTGGCGAATACCGGCTTGCTCACAGGGAAGACGGGAGGCGGGGGGACGGGGGCTGGGATGGCCTTGGCCACCGGCACAACCGCCGCCTTCTTGGCGGTCAGCTTCTTGTAGAGCTTGTAGAGCAGGATGGACTTGACTGCGGAGGCAGAAGGCACACACTGTGGGTCAGCTACGATTTGGCGGCCGGGGGCGCTGGCGCAGAGGGGCGGGTGGGTCGGTGTGAGGGCAGGTCACTGATCCGCCTGATGCGGGATGCCGTGCGGGCCGATCAGGGGGCGTGCCGTCGGAAAAACGTCGGCGCCAACCCACAGCCTCGCCCAGTGCGCGGACCGCCAAGAACAAAGGGAGCATGGCGAATCCCGTGCCGCGAAAAACTGAGGCCGCGCCGCACCGACAGTGAGGCGCGATCCGCGCCCTCCCACCCGCGCGACATGCTCAATGGCCCCAACGAATGCGCCGAATTCGCCACGCAAACGCCTGTGAGCACGAATGGGCGCCGCCCAGCGAGTGTCCAGCGCTTCTCCACAATCGCCTGCGACCACTCCCATTCCTCATTCGCGCCACTCGCGGTGCATGTACTCCCCCAGGACACCGGCGCCTCGCTCAAATCCATGTGCATGCGCCCCGCTCAGTCAACATGGGAATCCAACCCCATGCCATGCGTCCCACGTTTCCGCCCCCGCTTTAACTGTGCCGCCACATCCGCGCCCCGCTTTGCCTTCCACGCGGTCCTCCCCGCGTGCCGCCCACCCCATTGGCCACCGCGAACGCGCGCGGCCGGTTTTCTGTCACTTCTAGAAAGTCTCCACTCACTGATGATTGCCTCGCTCTCCTGGACGGCGAAGGCCATCAGGACCATGAAGAGCACGCACACGGCTGCGCTGGTCTTCGCCATCTCGCCTCTCTGCCCGCTTCGCACCGCAGTTAGCTTCAGGAGCTGCCCTCCTCCGGTTCCCTCTTCAGCCGTCGGTGGCCCCTCGTTCTTACTTAGGCTGCCGTTTTCGGGTTGGGACCAGGGGATGGGCAGCACCCCACTTATATGCGATGAAAGCGACCTCGTGTAGTGCCTCACCACAGGCGAGGCTTTCCGGTCCTCTGGGATGTGCCGCGCGGCAGTGGGGCGCAATGTACGGCGTCGTCACTCTGCATGACGGTCTGATCCTGGCGCTGCGGAGTATGATGCCTTCTATCGCGCGGATTACGCGCTGCTGGGGAGAAGGTCCGTGGCCGCACACAACGGCGTCGCCGTCAACATGGTATGTGTCACTTTAGGTGAGCGCTCGTGCGCGTTGCGGACAGCCCTTGACAACGTTGTCCTCCGATCGACGGAGCGGCCACCCACCGAAGTTGGTGAAGAGATTTTGTTTGTATGTTCTAATGCACGTTGCGGACAGCCATCGACAACGTTGTGCTCCGATATCGAGCAAAAAGACACAAATAGCGCTTTTTGCAAACATATATCAAACGCGTTTATCAATGTTTAAACAAAATTTTGGGCGCTAAGAGCACAAAAACAACCCAAACCCGTAAACTTTGTATGCACGTTTGAACACGTGTTATTTGGCATTTTTTTTCCTAGTGGATGGCGAAGCAACCAGCCGATTAATTGGTGGAAATATCGGTTAGTGGACCACCCTCAGAGGCGTTCTCATCATCATCAAGAATTCTTGCATGTCAAGGCGAGGAGGCAGCCATCAGCTTCCTATTTCGCCCGAGCAAAGCAGCGTGCATGAATTGTTGCATATGAACCCAAGGTGACGCCACAATCCCGCCATTGAGTTGTCGTCAATCAGAACGCGAGAACTTCACAAATTCGGTATTTGCAAAGCGTCTTCACCCATTGATAGCAAATTCTAATCACGGAAACTCTTAACATGCAACCAAGCACAAGAAGATCATCTTTCTGATCTTGCATCCAGACAATCCGCATTTCACTAACAAGTCTCGAAGTTGATCGAAATTGTTGTAGACTCGCTGGGGGACCCCTGGCTTGCTAATGCATTGTTTCAAAATATTTCAATCAGACTCAAGGTAGATCACTTGGAGCGAACTTGATGTGTGCCATATTGACGCGCGCGCAAGAGTAAATAAATCTCATCATGAGCAAACTCTCTTTCCTGAGACGTAGAGAGAAAAATCTGAGGAAAGAAAGTATCCCAAACGCCACCCAAATTCCAATCCTTCCAGGAACCATCGACAGAACCCTCGAATTGCAGAGGTGTTATCACCAGCGGTGTGCACCACACTTGCTTATCCCGTACATTCCACAGCGCAAAACAATATTATGGCGATGCCAACTGCGGTGCCATTTGACATTAGTTCATGCTACCAAATCCGCCTCAAAAATGGCATTGCAGATGGCATCATGAAAACTCGCTGCGATTTCAATACTTAGCAATGTTCCTACTACTGTTCCATTCGGGATTGCGTCCATCTTACTCCTAACAGGGAAAACTACAGCGGTGGGATCTGTGGAACAACTGGATGGGCTCCAACCATCAATCATCACACCAACACCTGTTCCACAAGTGTGCGGTGGCGTCCTCGCGGTAGCGCCCCCCGAAAAGCGCCCCCGACTCCCGAGTATAGTACCGGTTCCTGGGCCGGCACATTTCCTCTGTAAATTGAACAGTTTCGCTGCAGCAATGGGAGCTCGAAACAGCGCATTAGACACACGAATGAGCCCAAAGCGTGTGGCTTTTTTTGTCGACCTACACTATTACCTAACCTTGCAATTCTAGAAACCATAGGAAGAGTCTGAACAATGATTTCATATATGGGTTGATTTGTCAAGGGCGCAAGATAAGCTGGTTGTCTTTCTGAATAGTTCATTTCCTTTGGAATGTTTTACGGGAACCTCAATGTCTGGCTGGTGTTGAGAAATGTTTGGGTTGTTGTCGACTTGGTGGTGTCGTTAACGTTCTCTCGAATACCTATCTCATATGCACAAGCCTCATGCGCTTGTTATCGGCTGACAGATCCTTTGAAATTGATCTCGACTCGGTTTGGACATTTCACTCCTTTTTCTATGCAAGGAGTTTTTCGCGAATCTTCAGTGCATTTGGAGACTTGTCGCAAGGGGCATTTGCGGCAAACGTACTGCAAATCTATAACAAAAATTACAAGAAGCTTGTATCATGCTGAGGTCCGCGATTCACTACAATGCGGAGATGTTCATGAAGTGTCTGTCTGAGGCCAGGTATCTCCGCATTTGGGCTCGTAGTACATGCCCTTGCCAAGGCCGGCCAGTTTTCTGGCTGGCGCTCTTGTTATCATCACCGCTATTGACATGTGGTAAATTGATGGCATTAGCATAAGCCTCCTGGAAAGGACATGTTGAGCTGGAACACAACGGCTTTGATTAGTCTGAAAAGGATTGGATGGTCTGATTGTTGATGTTTGTAGTGAAGCCCGCAGTCAAAGGCCAGTTCCTCTACCGGCAATGATCTGGCATTCTTAAATATATCCCCTTGGAACCTGTAGTCCTTGGGTGTCGTATAGACAATATATCACTACAGTGGGCTCTGCATACCTCTGTCATTCTTCGAGGTGTACGTCCTCTCAGGATTTCGGAGCTTCCATTGCATTATTCTGTGTCATCATGATACACACGCTGAATCTTCAACAGACCAGGCACGCTAGAACCACCAACAACATTCGGCACAGCCAAGAATATCTCGAACCACTTCAAAATTTGCTGCATGAATGTCAGCTACAGCAGTTTGAGATGTTCTGCTGGCTCTTTGTCAAGCCTGGCGCCTGGGCTACAAGGGAAAGCTTGGTTGTTGTGCTGTCGGACATGCCGTGGTGCGTGGACTCGAATGTGATTTCTCATGTCGAGCTCGATCTTTGGCGCCACCTTTGGACCTGCGTTTTTTCTTGTTCTTCCGTGCCGGTTCCTATGGCATCTGAAAGTGAACCGCAGGCGCGCAAGTGCAACGACGCATCCCTGCCACTCATGAGTGGCATGGCACCATGTGATCACATGGATCGTTTGCCTGCAGCTCTCACACAGTCACGCCTTCCCTATGCCACATGCACATGGCGCTGAAGCTGAAGTGCACCTGGAAAGCAGAAAGTGGCAGCGCAAAAGACTGAATAGGCAGAAGGACAGCATGCATGCGCATCCCTTCGAGACAGCGAATTGAACGGGTTGCGTTGGCGGAGGCGCGCTTTGAAAGCTGTGGGCTGGAAAATAGGCAGAGGCAGCTCGTCCTGGTTCCCTTTTGTCCAGCACAGGATAGGTGCCGAAGCTACAGTATATGCTGAATCGCAGGAACCCGAAGCGAAGGCTTTAATTATAACATGCAAGCAAGTATGCGCGATTTGGACCTGCAAAGGGCGCCGGTTGATTAGCGGTCGCTCTCGCTCACCGTGCCATCAAAAGGCAAATTAAGCCGGCTGATTTGTGAACAATAAGGGGAGACACCATGTCGATTTTATAACGCTTAACGTCAATTTGACGCCGATGGGGGGAGGGGGGGGGGCTGTGACGCTAACAGATTATATAATTGCAACATAATCGACACATCAGCAGCCAAACACTCGCGAATTGTCCCTAAACCTCTCTGAGATATTCAGTCATCAAATAAATCCTTAGGGTTTGTCAATTTATAACCATTGAACCTGCCCGCCTTGTCTACAATGACATTCTTAGTCCCATTTTGCATCCCACCAAAATTTGCACGACTCTGAGCACTGTTTCTTTCAAAAAGCAGTTAAGAATCCTATTCCACTATTAGATAATGTTGCTGAGTTATCTTGGCTTCGACATGAATACTGACGCTAAGATGGGTGGCAGGCTTGGTCTTTACGCTATAAAAACTGATCGTATCTACTTTTTCACACCTATTTTTTTTACCTTTTTATGCGTAAAAATGCGCAAAAATACGTAAATACAGCTCTGTGTACATAGGGACAGTACATACAGACTTACGGAGTCCGGGGAGTGGCAGCCAGACAACCTGAAAGAGGCAGCAAACGAGCTTTTCTTGCGCGCCATCTTCGCCCTTGCCAAGGACGATGTGGACATTGCGTTGCGGGTGCTGGAGATGGCGGAGGAGTGACCATTGTACGAGACCATCATTAACCTGGGTGTCCCAGGAGCCGCAAAAACGTAAAAATAGCCGGCAAAATAGGCCCTTTCGCAACTTTGCATCTTCTGCGTAACAACGCAAATGTAAACGCAAAAACTATGCCTGGGGTGGTGGGCTGGGGTGGGGTGGGAATCTGAGCTTAACGTCAAATTGACGCTAAGCGCAACAAAATCGACATAGCACATTCCCTAACAGTACTGTTGCTACCTGTAGTCTGTAGCTTTGTGAGTCGACGATGAGAAGATGCACTCCCGGAATGCCGGCATCAGGGATTCTAGTGTGTAGAGGACATCTGCTGGTTTGGCGATATCGTAATTCTGTACAAGGGAGAGGTGGATGCGGCGCTGGATGTGTATGCTCATGTGGCGCAGTTGTGCCTCGATTTAGGTGTATACCTCATAGGTATGTCGATGTGCACCATGCTTGCAATGACGATCAACGGCTATTTTTGCCAATGTACGCGCACTCAAGCCGCAGCAATGGGCACCAGTGTACTCGGCTGAACCTACGCACAATAGTGTTTCCATAAGTACAGCACCAAATGTAAGTTGAACCCTGGATGGAAAGACAAAATGCAGCCAGATCATTGATAGCGGCAGTATCGGTGTGACCCCTCGCAGCAGAGGCATGGATGGGATCGGCTTCCACAGAGTAGCGAACTTTCCTGGGCCAAAGTACTAAGCGTGTATGTACTGAAGTTCAGTAAACTGCGGGAAAAAAAAACGACCGCGAACTACAGCCGTAGCCAGCAGCAATCAGCTGACAAACGCCAAGATGGTGCTTGCTGAATGAATGAATT